CCACCTGCTCAACATGAACCCTTCATAACTTTTGTTCATGAGTGCAAGTAGAGTTGTTTGAGCAAGGTACCATGGTTTGGTTGACTTCATAGGTTTCCATCCACTCTATAAAACAATTCAGGTAAGGACATAACTTGTCATTTCATGTGACTTCTTGATTCCAAACTTCACGAAACTTTTCCATGGATCAATATAGATGGATATTGATGTGAGACACATGAAAGTACATCCAACATTACTCAAGCATACTTTTTGAAAAGGCAACATGTAAGCAATGGTGCATGGTCCAAGTTTAAGTGGTGGCTCATTTTCATATGTTTGACCTAACATCTCCAACACCACTTAACATGTCATGGTTGAGCTCAAACCCATTGCTTAACTGGTGACAAACACCTGGGGTGTTACAATCTCCCAACCACCGTCCAGGAGTCCGTCTTGGCCCCACGATGCTCGCCGGCTTGCTCGGTTAACTGGTGCCTCGCTCTGCTGACCGATGTAGGTGTGCAGTGTCAGCCGGGGTCGTGCCATTGTACGCCATGGCACCAGGGACCCCTAGTTGCGAAGGCGATTTAATCCAAGGTGCTTGATGCAATGTTCGAGTCTGCTGCAATAGTGTTTCATGGTGACGCTGATTATCCCAAAACGTAGGGACTCGTTTGCAAAACATGCCGATGCGCTTGTGTAGCGGGCCGGTTGGGCCAGTCTGTTGGCGAGCGACTACGCCCGTGCAGGCTATTTTGGGCTGCGTTGGGCTGCTGGGCCAAATTGGTTGCCGCCGGCCCTTTTTGTTTTCTAAAGCATTTTTTTAATTTATTCTAAGGCAAACTTGTAAAAGTCAATATAAATTTGTGTAAGTATCCAAAAATTATGAAACTAATTTTATTAGATTCCTAAAATCATGATCTACCTGTTAGTGTATTTTGTTCATATATTTTGTATTATTTTTAGGGTTGCCATAATTAATTTAAATTGTTTAGTTTTAATAAGACCTAAACTTACAGGAATTTTTGTGAGAAAATGGTGATGGTGTTGACTCTGAAAATTTTACAGTAAATTCTTAATATTATTATCTGCTCACTATAATTTTTATAGCTCCATAGTAATTAGTTTGTTAGATAGATAATGATGCCCTATTTCGAATAGATATTAAATCGATAGAATGGAATAAAGAAACAACTTGGGTTTGTATAGCTAAAACAATCATTGGGAAATAACGTCTAGTTTGGCAATGTGGATACATGGCCTAAGTACGATCATTGTTAGAACTAGCTCGTTAGCTCGAGAGGCGTAAATCGTATTTTATGAGTCACAGTTGCAGTTGGTTAATAACGTCTCTGCATTTCATCCACATATACCCTAATAGGAACAATGAGGGATCATGGAGTCATCTAGAGTATCGAAAGGATGGTCCGAAGGATCATGCCACCACGATGGAATGCTAACTTTTGATTATATCTTACGCAGACAAGCCCCGTTGCATAACCCCTATTATTCTACACTTTATTTTATGCTTGTGCATTAAGTTTAAGGAGTTGAATGAAACCCACTTGCATATATATATGTCCTTATCCTATGAGTTTTACTAGTATGACAGGATCGTATATATTGCTATGCTATAGGACTCCAATAGATATCGAGTGATTGCATGTCACTCGCGAGAGATAGGAAAGATATTATTGTTGTTGTTATATTACTATCACATAGAAAATATCTGAATGATAATTGGAGACCGGGCGAAATGGTACTTAGATCTAGACTTGGTTTGGCATTCGAGCGAGGCTCGGATTGCGCTTGTTCCGCCTGTGTCAGTTAAGGACCATCCATTGCATTGAATTCTAATCTAGTCACAGACTTATTATCCTGAGCACATACTTGTTTATGAGAGTAGGGAAGACCCATTGCTCTCTTGTCGTGGGTTCCGACTCTTTATGGACTGACTGATTGGAGGCGGGGATGGTGGAGGTCTAAGCACCACACTGAGTCCGGGACTCAGGCGTGGGGCTTGGAGTCCAAGTTTGGACGGGGACTTGGATCCCTTGACAGGAGAGTGGTGGGTTGGTCCTACTTGTGCCTAGGGTACAAGCGGGGTATGTGTTTCGGGGTACCCAGCTGGGCACATTGATTCACGAATCACCGGGTAATCTGGTATGACTTGTCTACGATCTAGCACCATAGTAAGAACTAGAATATGAAAGATGATAAAATGGTCTGATTGCTTACCACCTGCTTGAAAGTAGCATAGGTGCTTATATAGAATGGTTAGTTAATGAACTAAAGGTGACTGCTAATGAAATTGAATATAAGGACACACTTTTAGTAATGCTTTCTGCAGATGCAATAACCACAAGCTAGATAGCCTTACATATCCTTGAAGTCTTTTCTTTCCTCCTGACAGGTAAGTCTTGTGGAGTACAATTGAGTACTCAGGGTTTGTTCTACCCTGTTGTAGGTGACAGGAACATGTGGAGCTGGCACTTGTGTGTGGAAACCTCCTGGTGGGCTCAGTGAGGATTTCCTTAATGTTGCAGACATAGAGTTTATTTGAAACATTCACCCAAAATGTTTTACAATGGAAAAACTTATAACATACTATAATGTATATAACGGATCATGATATTAATGATTAACTTGTTATTAAATTATTTTATTTCCACTGAGACTCTGATAACATGATTATATTCCGTTGTTATAAACAATAAATATTATACTCTGATGTTGCATGAAAAGTGACACAGGAAATGGTTAAAATTTTGTAAGCTTTATTCTCTCATTTGTGATCCTGATGGAAAAATATGGATTTTTGGGTTCTCCTATGGGGTGGCTCGACGAAACTGCCTGATGTAGCTCACCTTCGGGGTGCTTAGGATCTAGTGCAAGACAAGCACCTTCCATAAGTGTGTTATTTTGGGCGGTTCTACCACAGGTGGTATCAGAGCATAAATAAGAAAATAAAGCTTCAGAACCTATTTCTAAATTAAAACTTGACAACAAATTCTTTTCAAAAGTTAGGACATTGCATGCGAAGTTATATAAGTAGCCCTATTACTATGGTTATGTATCCAGGATAGATGGCACTCTGCGGACTTAGGTAGGCTTAATCAAGTTTTCTGCAGGTACACTGACCCGAGTATAGTCCGATAGTATCGACTAGCTACAGGGAGAGAACGATATGTCAAAAATCTAAGAACGGTTGCCTTATATGTTAGCAAAAGTAGAAGGACGTATAGGACATGCATTCATGCATATCCTATTTGTGCATTGTAGTGCCTAAATCACAGTAGAAGTTATGGCAACTCAGGCTGGACCAAAACAGCAAGCGGAAGGTCTCCGAAAGTCCTACATTAGCACCAAGCCATCCCCCAAGGGAGGGTATAACGGAGTGTGGGAAAATCCAGTTGCTAACGCTCCCGGCTGTGGGTTCTTCACAATTAGCATAACATTCTAGTACAGAGATCACCACTTGTTATGACAGGGTTATATCAATCATGCAATACCTAATAGTCCAGCTATCAGCCTATCTGCATCTTCTAAGACAATAAAATCCTTCTATTAGAGAATGAGAGCTTCTTCACACAAGATCTTTAATTGCTTGCAGATATGCCATCCATAGGTGTCACGCGTGTCGTATTGTGCACGACTGACTCATTCCTGTTCAGAAGTTACTACTGAATTGTGGCTTCGTGCTTCGTGTTCGCCTATTGTTCACACCTACCGTGGTCCACGTCTCCCCGTACTCTTTTCTACACTCTTGTCGGACCCTTGCCCTGTAGTCGTACTAGTCATTAATGGCCTTGGACATCGCTCGCCTTAGATGCGCAAAAATTTTGGTCGATTCGTTTGAAGTGGCCCGCGCAGGAACCTTGGTGGACTGCGCCAGGACCACTGACTGCTCTGCCATTATAAGCAGGGCCTAGCCTAGCCATTGGTACCACCACTCGGTACACTTTAGCTCGCCTAATTTTTTTTAGCAAGCTTTTCGCTTAATCCTTCCTTGCAACCACCGCCAGGGATGGTAGGAGCCTAGGTTAGTAGTTATTGCCTGAACACCGAGGGTTTTCCCAAAATCATGTATGCCACCCTGCAAAAGCTTGGAGTTAAGGATCATCCCGAGTATGAGGGCCGTGAGTATGAAAAGCATGGCATTGAGCGGTGTGAAGTTACCGTCTACATTGGGAAGAGTGAGGAGTTCTCCGGCATCACTGAAGCCTGGAATGTGACCGCAACCGGGTTTTGCTTCGTCGACACCTACTAGGTTGTGGCCCGCAAAGCCTTACGGTACCTTTGCCAGATCTACGAAGAGCCCATTGTTCGTATCCCCATGAGGTTCTTTCCACCTTTGGAAAAGAATCGGCGGGCATGGAGGGCTCGCATGGAGACTTTGCAAGGGCGGGATGCGCAAGAAGACAACCCAACCATGGTGCACTTGACCACGTACCTGCTTGCTCTGGATGAGCAGTATGACCGGCAAGCCTTGGAGCTGAGGAAGTGCCTCCGGCAAGCCGAGGAAGCCGAGATCTTCTCCAAGATGCTCCAGGTGTAGCTTGCCGAAGCGCATACCAGTGCGACAGCCGCAGAGAGTCGGGAGACTGCCATATCGGAAGCCTTAAAGGAGGCTGAAGATCGGCATGCCCATCAGTTGGGAGAGGCCTACCTTGTCACCAGGACCAAGCGGAGGACGCTGGCTGCTGAACGGCAGGATCCCTTGAGAGGCTGCTTCAAACCCACGACCTGGTGACTCAGTGAGACAGCTCTCACCACTGCACCAGGCCTGCCCTTCCAATCGTTGATTCAAATATTCCACAAAAATGTAAATAAGTAGACAATATATATCTCATTGTTAGCATATTATATGCAATAACTTGCAGAAGAATCACATTATCCCTTGATTTAGTTATATATACCGCAAAACAGCTCCTGAAACAAAAGCCAGGAGGCTGATCGGTTATTGCTTATTTTTTTCCCGAGACCAGGAGAGGGACTGTTCCATCTTGAAACCAGATCTAGCGCCTCAAACTGTGTAGGATGTATTCAGCGTATAAGTCCCTTGTACAACAACAAAAAACAGATTAGAAGTAGTACCCTAACTAGAAAAAAAATAGATAATTCTAACATATAATGTGAGGATTCAGACAATAAAGGAAGCTAATGTTTCAGCGAAGGTGAATAGATTTGTCAAAGTACTCCCTTTGTCTCAAAAAGAATAGAAACATTGCTTCCCGAGAAGTCAAACAATCATAAATTTAACTATGTTTATAGAAAATAGTATCAACATTTGTATCTTTATAAACATTTATTATGAAAATATAGTTTGTTAAGAAAATATATTTCATGGTTAATCTAGTGATCTCATTATGTATTTTTAATATTAATACTTTTTGTATGTATTTGATAAACTTGAGATTGTTTGACTCCTTGTGAAGCGAGATGTCGATTCGTGGGATGGAATGAGTAGAAAGAAAAAATTCAGATGATCAAAGGTTTCGCATCTCATGATCATTTTAAAGCATATTTTCAGATGCATTGCATCACCAGTTTCTGACAGAAAAACAGACTCACATTGAGTGTTGAATGGCCTCCAGGGAAGTAGTTGGTGGTAAGAAATCGTTCACAGCAACTTCCTTGTTCTCGTTCTTCTTGTCTGCAAATACATGTGAAATAAATTTCAGAGTTTCTGGAGCAACTGTAGTGCTATGATTATAGAAAATCAGACAGATTTGGAAACAAATGGTACGTACAGTCCTCAAAGAAGCGACGGATTTCATTAAGGCGATGTGGAGAAAGCTCCTTGAGATCGGTTAAGTGACGGTATTCAGGATCATCAACACAAACTGCAATTATCTTATCATCTTTCTCTCCCTAGTTATTGCAGAAACAGATACGCCATCAATCCAACAGTGTGATATGTAGAAATTTTAATGAAAAGTCCATAAATACATCATGCCTGATCAATCATGGGCATAAGGCCGATGGCTCTTGCCCGAAGAAAACAGCCAGATATCACCGGTTCCTATTTGGTTGTAAGCCAGTTAATGATTAACCTCAGAAGCTGAAGACATAACCTATATAACTAATACTAAGTGGGTTAGATGAAACAAACAGTCGTAAGACATGCTGGCCTGCATCAACACCAGCACATCCATTGGATCTCCATCTTCACACAATGTTCGTGGAATGAAACCATAGTTGTGTGGGTAGACCACTGATGAGTATAGCACCCTGTCAACCTGCATATTGTCAAATTTTCAGTGGCATCAGGAAAACAATGGTATTTTTTTTCTCTTTCCTGTAAGCTTAAATTTTAACAGATAATTTGTACCTTGATCAATCCGGTCTTCTTGTCTAGTTCATATTTCACTTTACTGCCCTTTGTGATCTCAACAACCTGCAAGCATGGAAGGTTTTGACTTCTGGAGGTCTGATGCATCTGAAACTAATGGCTTCCTCTACTTCACTACCCAGGATGAACAACAACAGGACATGGGGCTTACACAATTAAAAACAGCAGGGGCTCCAGGTCCTGGTATTTTGAAAATATGAAGCATCAGCTTGTATGAACCTCCAGAATCATACCGCAGTGCAAAAGATGTACTTACCTATCTCAAGGTCATGCCAGGAATGCGCAGCAACTAGAGGGAGGACATGATCCGCTTGTTCGGCCGTGGATGGCTCTTCTCTTCAGCCATGCTCCTACAACTAGAGAGAAAGATCACAATGAATCTCCTTGCATGGAACGAGCAATGTACAGGAATTCTGCGGCAGTACTTGCAGCAAAAGTCCCACAAAAATTCTAGGTCTACATAAACAGTCAAAAAATGCATTTGCCAAGAGTTTTTGCCATTTACCAAATTTGAATAGGATTTGATCTGGGTGTGATCACCAGGACGAGGATGCAGGAAGCACAGTAATACAGAAGTAGCAGCGGTGTTATATGGACGAGCTCTCGGTCTGTCTGAAGCGGCTGGATGGAGATCCTGGAGAAGTGGCGGGAGAAGCGGCCGCTCAGACAACGCCTACATGCACTCCTGAATTAGGCAGGCGAACATGCAGCGAAAAACTGAACTATCTAGATGCAACTTCCATTCAGAGCCAACCAAAGCAATGTCAACACCTCCTGGGAAAGGTTTCACGAGCACCTGAAAACTTGCTTTTCTAGCATGATCCAATTTGCGTTTTGGTTTACAGATCATACAGAGTAGCGACCAAGTTCAATGTTACAGCCAACAGATTCTGCTTATCGATGTCTCATTGCAGTGTCAAATCTCATCTCAACATTAACGTTACAATCATACAAAGTAGGGCTGTAGGGGTAATTGCGGTAGTTTCATAGAACTGGATGAGCAGTTACAGAGGCCAGTTTACCTGCGATTTCCAGCACATACAATTTCATCTGGAACAGATTCAGCCCATAAAAATAATCTGTAGAGACCTAAGGCCTTTATGCACAAGTGGCAACCCTGATAACTGATAGGAGATAAATTTAGTCAGCTACACAGGCATATCTATGTCATTTCCCAACCGGACCATTAAGCCATGAAAACATCCATAAGCATACATAACCTTGCAACTATAACAATGCGAGGTCATGAATATAACCTACTGGGTGCATTAGGAAGTTACATGCAAGTATTTTTTGATGTTTCAGCCCAGTCTTTGCTGGGCTCTCCCTTCGAAGATGCATGCCTCTTGTGACCACTCCGAGTCAATAGCGCAATGCTATTTGATCTTGGCATCTGGACAGCCCCAGCAACACAATCTCCAGCATGAGCACAGCTCCAAACTCGAGAAGGCCCTTCCCCTAGTGAACGTAACCTTGGGAATCCATTTTTTAACCTGCAAATTGACCACTGCTCGGTATCTTTACCAGCCAGCTTGTCGCACACAGGGCAAGGAGGGTCATGCTTCTGCCCCTTGGGAGTGGTCCGCTCTAAACACTCAGCATGGTAGACATGGGAGCATGGGAGAACACCAGCAACTGGCAAATCTCCAGTGCGTACAATTCTACGAGAACCCCAAGGTGATCTCTTTGTCAGAAGCCTCTCACAGAGGTCACACCTTGTTTTCTGCATTACATTATTAGGACGCAGTGGTCCAGCTTGTCCAGCTTCAGGTCTTTCTGATAAATCAGTAAGATCCATGCTACTTGCAGCACTCCAATTTCCTGACTCCCCACGACTACCACTACCATAGTCCATGGGACCTGGAACGCGAAGCTCTCCTGTTCCCTTGAATTCAGAGCACAGAGGATTGTTGGAGCTTGCGCTGGCAACAGGACTTTGAGTTTCTTGTGCTTCTAGTGCATGTTCTGGAAATGAAACAGGGTGGATTGGCTTTGACAGGAATGATCGACGACTCGGGAAGTTGCGGGGCGTTGATGTGTATGATTTAGGTACAATATCATATTCACTTCCATCAGAGCGAGAGGAGGTGGAACCACCACTATTCTGTTGTCCTGACATTCCCTACAAAAAGAGGATAAAATTCAGTCCCCTGAAGCCTGGAGCAAGAAATGAATATTACTACAACATGAACACCTAGCATATTGCATACCTCTGACAATAATAAAGCACCAATAGGCTCAGCAACTGAAACTGCAAAAAAGGTCCAATCAATACAACTGAACAAAATTTTGCATGCACATGCCCATACATATAATAAATGCTCAATTAACATAACTGATCTCATTGTAAAATTCTTTGGAAAAGGTTGCACGCACCCGCCCATAGCTATGTGCACACACAAATTAAGGTGATGACAAAGTGACCACTAATGAAAAGGTTGCACGCACCCGCCCATAGTCAATCATTGTTTTATGCAATTCAAAAACATTATAAATGCTCATCTAGTAGAAAAGGACATACAAATGACCATGCACAGAGAACTTGAACCACATGGTAAAAGCGCAGATGACAGAATATTACAGGACACAAGATACTCTGAGGAAAGATGGAGATAATTTAACCAGAGTAGCAAATGTGCTATCTTGTACCCATGCTGACCACTAATGATTGAAATTACAACCATATCACGTCATTCAAATAATGCCACATTCTTAAAGAAGAATAGATTTTGCCAACTCATTTGTAATTCCACTGCTACCGTATTGGTACAGGAACTACTTTGCCTTAAAAAAAGGTTATCGAGAGTTGAGATAGCTAGAATGGTTCAGACAAGAAAGGAGCATATCGATCAGAGAGATACGTATATAAAATTTAGATGTTTAATTTCTTTCAGTACCATATTGTAGTCGCAACTGAATGGTTAATGAATTGAGAAATATGGAAAAAATTCCGACTGATCAGCAACCTTTTCCACATAGATGATATGTTACCAACCATTTTCATCCCTAGGCACAGTGGCACCCCATTCTCCGTATAGGTCTCCACCAGACCCAGCACTGCTTATCCTAGGAGTCTTAGGTTTCGAAACATTAGGGAGTTTAATCTGGTTAGGTTGAGATAAGAATAGGAGATTGAGTTAGAATTGGTTTGTGAAGGGAAGGTCCAATCTGTAAGGACTGCATTCCTACTTGTCTTAGGAGTCAAGAAAGAAATGGAGGTGTTAGATGTATATGTTGTGCATGTATTTAGTTACTAGTGTAGGGTGCAGGGCGCTATGTGCACCTTGTACATCTCCATATCTTAGCCATTCGTCATTGGAATACAGTGAGTTGCATTTCCTAACAGGAGGTATCCCCCCTCCCCCTTTCCCTTTCGTCTGTAACTGTAACCACCGGTTGTCAAACTGTCGGCCTCCGATTCCTCACCCACCGACCTTCTTTGGCTACAATGTACACAATGTGCCACACACCAATCAAGCTCCTGACAACAAGATAAAAGTGACACAGACCTTACCCACCTACGGCTCTGAGATGCTATGGCATAGTTTAATTAAATTGTAATAAGAGTATTGTTTTGTCATTTATGTTCACAGCCTAACAGCCCACAACAGCCATAGAAGTATGGAAGCAAGAGAATAGTGTCCTTTCAATAGAAAATCTTCAATATTTTCTTTTATCTTGTTCCTATATCATAAGAAACTGGTATTATTTGTAGGAAGACTTTTATCCTTAGCACAGCATTAAGAAAAGAGTGAAATCCACTAGGGGTCCTTAAACTTGTCCCGCGTTCTAAAATAGGTCCATGTACTTCTGAAACCAGATTTTCCGGTCCCTAAACTTGCTAAATGTATCATCAAAGGTCCAAACCAGTTTTGAAAAGCTGTTTTCGCACACGTGGCAGCCACCGTGTCTAGGGCGCAAGGCCCTCGCTCCAGCGGCGGTGCGGCGCACGACGACAAGCAGTGGAAAGCGCCGAGCAAGGCCCAACCTTCCTGCAGCAGTGCAGCGTGGTTGCAGCTGCGGCAGCGGCGGCAGTAGACGCTTTTGAATCTGGCGTCGTCGCTAGCCGCCTCGAGCGTCCCCGCGCTGTGCCCCAGGAGACGGACACTAGCAGGTGGTGGCGCTGGGCCCGTGCTCGCCAGCCGTCGGCATCGTGCTCAGTCCATGCATCTGACATGCCGCGCCAGGGAGGAAGGGGTTGGGGACCTCGAAGCCGCTGCCGACACCTCCTGCTGCTGCGTGGGGACGGGGCGCGTCGCGGAGCACGCCACAGCCGCGGCTAGAACCACAAGGACGACCAGAGCCGACGACGACGACCTAGCCATGCCGACGATCACGACTCGCTAGCCGATCCACTGATCCTTGACTTGGCTCTTTCATGCATGCAAGCACCCAACTAATCACTAGCTTCTTTGAGCATGCACCATGCCGTTGCCGACTCGCTGTTCAACAGGTGGCGGGCTTGAAGCAGGGGTTGGCTCTATTGCGCGCGTAGCCACGTACACGCCGGTGATGAAGGGTGGGATGCGGCCAGGTTTGACACCCAGGGCATAGCGCAGGGGAACGAAGTTGCCGGCGATCTGCATGACGGCCAGGTTCGACACCCAGGGCATTGCGCAGAGGAACGAAGTTGCCGGCGATCTGCACGGCCGGGTCCTCCATGCAAGGCATAGCCTAGCATCGCCGCTGCTGCAGTCGCGCTGCACGAAGGTCAGGCCTGGCTCGGCGCCTGCCATTGCTCATCGTCGTGCCACTGCTCGTAGCCGCGCCACGGCGCCGCTGGAGCGAGGGCTTGCGCCCTAGACACGGTGGCTACCACATGTGCGAAAACAACTTTTCAAAACCGGTTTGGACCTTTGATGATACATTTAGCAAGTTTAGGGACCCGAAAATCTGGTTTCAGAAGTACATGGACCTATTTGAGAACGCGAGACAAGTTTAAGGACCTCTAGTGGATTTCACTCTTAACAAAAGCAGTAAAACTACACTCTCCACCAAGTTAAGGCTTTCCCTCCATATTCCTTGTCACAAGTCATGTACAGTATCTATCACAGGCACCATACCTAGAGTTTCATAGAGTTCGTGGAAGGTTTAAAATTTTTACCTCCCACACCACTAGGAACACTCATTTCAGGGGCAATGTTCAGTCACCTAGCACTAACTAATTAGAGCTCAGACACACTGGATTGACTTAGCTGGTTCTCAAAGTATTTTACGGTGCATATGTTTCTAATATATAGATAATGTAACTGCTCAGTGATCACATTGGAATGCTGGATCAGCCTAATCAATTAAGCATGAAAGACCCAATGCATCTCAAGTGTCAGTTGAAACACAGGTAATATAAGCATTGAGCATAACATAACCACGGTGTATATTCAATCAAAAGGCCAAACAATTCAGAATCCAGGAGCCACCTTGAAAAACTATGCAACCAGCCATCTGCAATCTAGAACTAAATCTGGAAATATATGATCCCAGCTATAGCATTAAAATTTGCAAACAAAATTTATCAATCCACATTTGCACTCCCTCTTTGCGGGGGGAAGGCTTGCCTCGGTTTTTCCCTTCCCCAGACCCCACTCATGCGGGAGCCTCCGGCACTGGGTCTGCCCTTTTACATTTGCACTCCCTCTGAAATCCTAAATCAATACGATGTACTGCCTCCAGTTACAAACAAGTGGCATTTTGGACATCTACATGGTGTCCAAAAGACAACTTTGACTATGATTTTTTTTGTTATAAAATATATTTGTAACACATAGCAAAAGTATATTACATCGTATCATTTTCAAATACTAAAACTCCAACATGTTAAAACTAATTTGAAATCAAAGTTTAGAATGGCTGATTTCAAACAACCGAAAACATTATGTATTTGCGACTGGAGGGAGTATTAGTTAAAAATTACGCTAGAGCCTAGCAGATCAATCATTCATGCAAGGGTCCAAATCATCTTAATATAACTCATGACATTTGAAATTCACGCCCACATCTATTTTAATGAAATGATATGCAGGTCTCCTGCGCATTCAATTAAAAATCGAACATCTACAGCAATCATGAATCATGATCACTAGTCAATGGCTAAATCAAAATTAATGCTACTGTAGAACTGATTTGAGATCAATCATTGTCATCATGAAAAATCTGCCAGTTGATCATGATAGAATTCAACTCCAAATCTGATAGGTTTGCAATCATATAATTGAAGATTCAAAAGTCACTCAAAAGTAATACACAAAATTACGCTGCATATAATCAGTTTAGTAGTTAATTCTGTCACTCGATCCACTAAGACCCTTGTTCCCACTAAGACATAAACAATACATATCAGGCCAACCAGCAGGAAGGCTGCTACCTGCTAGTATTTAAAGCATAACCAGATTTGCAAACTCAAATTATTTAAGAGACGAATAAGGAACATCTGCATTTAGAATTGGACAAGCAAATTATTGTTTTGTTTGCATTTGTTCGCTGAAACATTTTTTGTTGCTAATTAAATAATTAAAAAACAGTTGCATAAATGAAGCATAATTTTTAGTCAAATATATGAGGATCATTTAAATACTATTCCCTGCGTTCCAAATTATAAGTTGTTTTGGCTTTTCTAGTTGCACAACTTTTATTATGCACCTAGATATACACTATGTCTAGAAAAGCCAAAACGGCTTAGAATTTGGAACAGAGGGAGTACATGGGTATTGCACTAGATTGGAGTTCATATTTATGCTGAGTTGCTTACTGTTATCAAATGGCAATCCTGTTGCACATAATGGCAATGATGGTATGAAACTAACAGCAAGTCTCTATTGTTACACAAACAGATTTTGCTATAGGGAAATGGGTTTAATGTTATGTAATTTGGAATGACTATGGTCCCAATAAATCAGGATCAATTTGTCAAGTTCATGAGTTTCTCTTGATCGTCACCCAAGAATAGAGGTACAGTTCATAGTGTTGTGAAAGGGCATGGCCTTTGCCCTGTGGCAAATTTACTATGAAATATAATTTTGCTGCATTCTGCAGTGATTGATACTTGATAGAATCATGTGGTAGCAATTTTCATTGGGCTGAAAAGAAAAGGTGATTTACCTGTAGCCCTTATAAAACAGTAACTTCTAGTATTCTCCAAAAAAAATGACTGTTAAAACAGCAAGACAAAAACTATTTTTTACACCAACATGCTATATAGCTGGTGCAACAGACATGATTTTTGAGGCATTCTAGTGTCCTGTGGCGCTGGTGATATGCCTGGACGCCTAGGCAATATAGCATAACTAAAACCTTGTGGTGTCCTATGGCACCTAGGGTATGCCTGGCTCAACGCCTAGGCAATGCCCGAAGAACCATGGCAACAAATATATTAAAATCAAACAGCAGCAGAGGACAAAGTTACACATAAACAGAAATTTAAATTGATGAATAGTACAGAAGGCAAAAAATGAAGTACAGATCTTGGGTTTGAACAATCTTAAACATTCTTAACCCAAGAAATATAAAAATTACAAAAGAAGCGGAAACATCAAAAAGGACAGAGAAGTTTGCTACTCCAAGGCACATACCTCTCATGTATTCATCAACACTAGAATCTTGCAGCATCGGTAGCATAATATGGTGGTTCTGGAAGCTGACATCTGGGCTGTTGAGATACGAAATGGCACCCTCAGATGTAGAGTAGCGGTGATCTTGTGGAAGCTCATTCCTCTCCCAGCTCCTACTAGCCCCTTTACTATTCGATGATAGTGATGACCCATAATTCACAGCGACCCCACTATCACCATGGGATCCATAAGACAACCCTTCCGAGTTGATCCTGTACTCCCACCCCCTAGACAGAGGTGGAGAAAAGCCAGCACCAGTCCGCCAGGGTGGGTCGCTGCGGCCAATAGAGGACCACTCGTGGCTTGCTGTGCTAGCCCCATGTGGCCGTGCCGCCACGCAGCACAACGAACCCATCCTGTTAAAACTCTAATACAGCACCCTAAGTAGTATGTACATTCATTCCAAGGTTTTCTTGCTGCACATCCAACACTCAACAGAGCATCCCTATTCAGACAACATGGGCGGCCTCTTAGCTGTTTCAATCTGTGAGGCAGGGTAACCGACTGATCTTAATTACAAAGAAATTCTGTCTAATATCCAAGAGGCCTTAAAAGAAACAAGAAATGACATGAAAAGATCCCAAATTTACCACTATGTTAGATTTATGCCATCAGCGCTGCTAAGTAGGACTGAAATGCCCCTGACCGTGGCTTACTGGTGACGCCTGTTCGTCGCTAGTCCCGGCTACCCCCCAGCGGCCAAGCTTCCCCACCGCCCCCGCTCCACCTCCTCCAGCACAACACCGACCCCACGGACGAGCGGCGCAACCTGCCACGGCCACGAATCACGAGTGAGGGTGGGCGGCGCCCCATCTAGGACTAAGGGGAGGGGAGCGACCCAGACCTGCTTGACGGGGGGCTACGCTGTGTCCCAGTGCTCCGGAGTAGCTCAGCGTGGTGGGGGTGGGGAGCGTTCCTACTGGAGCAGGAGCGGCGGATTGAAGCGGAGTGGAGGTAGCGGATGGAAGTGGAGTGGGGAGCGGATGGCGAGGGAGGTGAGGAGACGCGCGACTGGCGAGGAATCGGGCTGAACCGAGGCAGTCGACCAAGGGGGCAGGAATGTCATTTTTTTTATGTGCCTTTTTGAGGAAACAAGTAACAATCCTTTTGCGTGTTTGCTTCACGGCAACGGTAGTATCAATGTACATCTTACACAATATTACTAGGAATTCTACTGTAGCTTCCTTTAGATAGCTCTAGCAGCCGGTATAATAACATGTTGTAAGCTGGCTAAATGCTGAGATGAAGGAGTGAATAAATGCTGAGGTGGAGGAGAGAAAAGAGGAGATAGAGGAGAAGCGGGTTATAAACTTATAGCCGACTCAGGCATAAGAACCAAGAAACTTTGTGAGAGCGATAAGTAGGTCATGTATTAACAGTGAAAAGCTAACTCCTATATAGATGGGCTGAGAGAATGCTACGAATAACCTTACAACCAGCAAACGGGTTGTATTATTAGCCTTGATCAACAAAGTTAGAAGTCCTTATGAAAAATGGGGCCACTGAAATATGATCACGAATTTGAGTTTCACTCTATTGCTATTATCCAATCTCTCTCCATCCTAAATTATATGTCATTCTAAATTTTTCAGAGAGTTAAAAAATCTCAAGTTTAACCAAATTTATATAATAAAATAATAACATTTATGATACTGAATAAGTATCATTAGATTCTTTATTAATTATACTTTCATAGTATATCTATTTGATGTCATAAATTTTTGTAATTCTCTTTATAGTTTACTTTAGATGTTTTAACTCTTCACTTATATTTTGGAATGGAGGGAATACATACTAAGGCCCCTTTGAAATGTAGGAATTTTATGAGAATTATATAGGAATTTCACATGAAAACCATAAGAAATGGGAAAAATCCTTGGTTCCAAAGGGTCTTAAAATGTTTTTTTTCATGTGATGCCCTATTCATTTAATTGTTTTACCGAATGATGCCACTTGACTTGACCCTTTTGCGGTTTTTACCCTGACATCCATACGACCATTATCCTACCTTGATCGATCTTGTTCCATCCATCTTTTTTGAGCCATACTGCCATTGAGTAGATAATGTCAGCAGCTGTCAAGTTTATAACCATGTCATTGATGGGATGTGACAAAAATATATATCATGCCTCCATTCTTTAGATAATGGAACGAGGTCCTAGCCCCTACATCATTGACAAACTCCATAGTCATGGTGAAACATGACGTGTCACTTTTGGCCTAAGAGATATGGCGAGAGATCGGCGATGGACCAAGATCCTAAGGGTTCCGTATAGGACCAACTGATGAGGACATTACACCTATGAATATACCTATGAAAGTGAAAGATAAGGTGATCTCATTCGTATGCTTGCACAATGATATAAGTAACATTTTGTTGTTACCTAATGTTGTTGCTTTCAATATGCTTAGAAACAATGATGATGATGATGATGTAAACTTGGAAAAGACACTTTCTATGGCCCTACAACAGATGGGATGTGGATACAACATTCACAAAATCGATCTTGGAGTACAAGCTCATCAAAGTCCAACATTCGGTTTGTCGGCAGCCCGATAGTGCTTCATTAGGAATAACCATAACTCATTCATCCGGAGTGCGACTGAGGTCAATGAGCACTTGATGAAAAAGCTTGTTTAATAAGCTTTCAAATAGATCTAGTACTATCTCAATATCACATCGTCAAGGTCTTCAAATCATCATGACAATCTGCTACTATTTCTACTAGGTGCTACGACGTCGTCTTGGGCTTGTCATGCAACCTTAGGACCCTGGCCCAAGTTGGAGCATGCTCCAAATATGTGGAGAACACCTTAAGATGTCCAAGAATGTCCTCCACCTTGGCCACCTCCTTAGGAGGCCAGCAAGTGCGTCCAAGTCAAGTTGGAGGTCTAATCCATGTCAAGTTTGAGTCCATCTCGAAATCCACAAGTAGCCTGCGGTAAAACGAACGCCGAGAATGCATACAAACTCTGTTTTTTATGATCCACCTATGAATGGAAATATAATTTCATAAGCTAATCAATGTCTTTGGATTGAGGTCCAAATTCCATCGGAGTCAATAGGAATCGTCGAAACAAGTCGACGTCCAGAATCTATTAGGGTGTTGTGCCACTGTCTTTTGGTCCGTTAGGTTGTGTATTGTCTTAGGGCCGTTAGGGGGCACGTCCAGGGTGTGTGACGACCCTTAGACCTTATAATCCGTAGCCGTCATCCATTTTAGGGTTTAGGTTTTGCTTATAATCAGTAGTAGTCGTTAGGAGGCCGGACCGCAGCAAACAACCCTTGATGGTCAAGTGCCAGGCGGTGGCAACAGTGTTAGGCGGCGCTTGCAGCTCCTTTGACTCCTCCCTACACAACAAAACCAAGGTCCATCCATGCCACGACAGCACCCACCTGCACCCGCCGCACAAAGACCATAGACCGAAACTCCAAACCGACTTATACCCGACCTTCCTCGGAATATACGGGAAGCTAGGGTCGGCTCCATAGAGGGGAGAGACCGGTTAGACACTAGAAGCATCGACTCAATAGAGATCTCGATCCGAGAAGTAGAGGAACAATAGAGACTTCCCCCCAACCCATCTAGAGAGAGGGTCAGTTCCTCACCCATTGTGGAAGAACTTTACCGTCAACAAGCCGTAGGATAGCACTGAGCGATCCCTAGAAAACTCACATTCTCCTCTGTTGTAACCCCCCTGAAAGCTCTTGTTTGGTTTTGATGAATTGATGAAACCCTAAGTGCTAACCTAGTTTATCAAGTGATCATGAGATAGGTAGCACACTCTAAGTTGTGAAGCAAACAAAGATCATAGCATGATGAAGATGATGCCATGGTAATGATCAAGTGCTCGGACTTGGAAAGAAGAAAGAGAAAAACAAAAAGCTCAAGGCAAAGGTATAAACCATAGGAGCTATTTTGTTTTGGTGATCAAGACACTTAGAGAGTGTGATCACATTTAGGGTTGATAGCCGTACTATTAAGAGGGGTGAAACTCGTATCGGAATGCGGTTATCAAAGTGCCACTAGATGCTCTAATTCATTGCATATGCATTTAGGATCTAGTGGAGTGCTAACACCCTTGAAAATATTTGTGAAAACATGCTAACACATGTGCACAAGGTGATACACTTGGTGGTTAGCATATTTGAGCAAGGGTGGAGAAGTTAGAAGTAAAAACGAGTTAGTGTCGCTGGTTATACAGTGACCAGACGCTGGACCTCTGAGGGACCGGTGCATCCGGTCATGTGTAACAGTGAGATGCTGGCGTCGGTGTATTGACCGGACGCTGGGTCGCTCGGCGACCGGACGCTGAAGGGCAGCGTCCGATCAAGTGGTCGGTCTGCACACAGCGCTTAGGGTTAAGCACCGGATGCTGGGTTGTGTCTGGTGAAGCAAGACCGGACGCGTCCGGTCGATAAAAATCGGTTATGGACCCTTACTGGAAATGACCGGACGCTGAGGGTCCAGCGTCCGGTCAACTGACCAGAGCGTCCGTTCAGGCAAGGCAGATGACCGTTGGAGTCAGACACGTGGCCGACTATGAGCGACCGGACGCTGGGGGCTCAGCGTCCGGTCAACTTACCGGAGCGTCCGGTCAGCCCGTGTTATGCCCAGTGAAGGGGTATAACGGCTATATTTCGTGGGGGCTTCTATTTAAGCCCCATGGTCGGCTATAGCTCATATCTTTGGCCATTTCCATTGACATAGCAACCTTGTGAGCTTAGCCAAAGCCCTCCCACTCATCTCCATCATTGATTCATCATCATAGTGAGATTGGGAGTGAATCCAAGTGCATTGCTTGAGTGATTGCATCTAGAGGCACTTGGTGTTCGTGTTTCGCTGTGGGTTTCACTTGTTACTCTTGGTGGTTGCCGCCACCTAGACGGCTTGGAGTAGCGAGGATCGTTGAGTGGAGAGCGGTGATTGTCTCCGGCTCTAATCGTGGTAATTGTGAGGGGTTCTTGACCTTTCCCCAGCGGAGCGCCAAAAGGTACTCTAGTGGATTGCTCGTGGCTTGTGTGATCCTCATCTTGTGTTGGTTGTGCGGCACCCTATTGAGGGTTTGGCGTGTGAAGCCAATTAGCGCGTGAACCTCCAAGTGAGTGAATCGGCACAACGAGGACTAGCTTGCCGGCAAGCAAGTGAATCTCGGTAAAAAATCATTGTGTTCATCATTGATTCCGAGGTGATTGGTCTTCATTGTTATTCATTCTTGTGATTGATTGGTTCCTTCATCTACACGGCGGTATAACTTTCTTGATCACTCTCTTTACATTACCGCAAACTAGTTGTCAAGCTCTTTAGTGTAGTTAGTTGTGAGAGCTTGGTTGGTTGGTTGGTGTGGCTCTTTAGTTAGCCTTTGAGAGCACACTAACATAGAGTAGTGTCATAGCTATTGTGTGAATAGATACTATCTAAATTAGAATTGTGGTAGGTGGCTTGCATTTTGAGTAGGCTAGCGCAACACTTGCTTCGTCTCATAATTGTCTAACCCTTTTGTTAAGTGTTGTTGTAGAAATTTTTATTAGGCTATTCACCCCCCTCTAGCCAATAGGACCTTTCACCCCCGCACGATTTGGGTGCTCCTAAACATGAAGAACACCTCATTGCTGAACGTAGGGTCTCGATAGCCCGAACCAGGATAAACCGCTGTGTCTCCCTTGTGTTTTTTAGTATCCGAACCACCGGAGACCCACACTCTGACTTCTGACGAACAACCATGATGTTTGTCGCAGTTATAAACCCGCGACAGGAGGCAAAAACTCGAAGGGTGGCCAATAACCAAAAGCGCCAGCTGCAGGGGAGCAAACCAGAGCCAGGTCCATGTGGTCCCCCTTCCCTATGCGGCGTGATCGGGCAGGTGTAGACCAAGGGTAGCTACGACCGGGGGAGGCGAATACCACGGATTGAACACCCTTAGCCTATTAGAATATGCCCCGAATCTAGAACAAATAGGGGCATCTTGGTCCTGTGAAAGCCTACAAGCATGTATAAATAGGACCCTGAGAGGGTACTGTAAGAGGATGGATGATGAAGAATGAAATTGACGTGTCCTCATAGGTGTAGAGGGCCCTCACGACCCGCTTGCCTCACTGTTGCCCCCTGGGCATGCTTGGTTGCTTGCTAAATGTTGAGAAAGGACCGACGAAAAAGGTTGAGGATGCGGGAGTATGGACTGCAGGGTGCGTTGTGCGAAGGAATAGCCAGATGGGAAAAAATATCAACAATAATTAAAGCGGGACCCACACAAAGAAATTATGGGTTGGGATGATAATTTCTTTAGACAGTGTCTTATTGATGTGGCAAGGATGAAAACTACCATATTGTTTCTAGGTTGGGATTGCCCTGATAGCTTCCTGATACATTTTGAGATTGATGAAGTAAGAATTAAATCTCGTTATCAATGTGATGGTGATTCAAACCTATCCATGTAAAAAAGTTATGCTACAAAAAGCATAAGCAATTAAGCTACGTTCATTTGTTGTACACACACAAGATATTAAGCGTATGTGTATTGAAACTTATGGTTCAGGATAACTGAGTGTCTCCATGAAAAACACGAATTTGGTTCTCTCTATGGGATATACTGCTTTCAGGTGACAACTAGCATTCTGTATATGAGCTTATTAGATTTTTGTTAGGGCACTCACAACCCACAAAGTTAGATGTTTTCTGTTCATTAGTTAGAATATTGACTAAGCAAAATGATGATGCGACATTAGAATTAAAGAAGAGAGATGATGATAAAATTGTTTCTTAGATAAAAAAACTTAGTTTAACCACGAAAGGCCCTATAACCTAGTGGTTACAAGAGCCTCAGTAGCATTTCTGGGTTCGACTCCCTGTGGGGAGCGAATAATCTTGGTTTTAACGGTATTGTGCTCGACTCCCCGTGTGCTTTTAAGTGGTAGACAATGTTCTCGTCAATAGCAAGGCATCTGTGGTGACTTCGTCAATCTTGAGGATTTGTCGGCCTAGTCTTCAAAGATGCTCAGATGGGTAGAATTTACGTGCGTGCGTTCATAGGGGTGAGTGTGCGTGTATTGTGAGCATGTGTTGTACTGTGTAATCGCAAAAAACTTTGTTTGTCTGGAACCAAGATATAAGGAGATTAGGTAGATTATAGAGAAAAGACATGTGATTGAACAATAAATTATTTTGAAATAACTATGTCTTAAAAATATAGTTTTTATGTATAGTGTCTATATGATTTGACAAGTGGAAAACTACCTCATAGTTTTTGGATTGAGATTGCCCTTAGAGATTAATTACTCTATGCCCAGGTGAAAATCTTCTTTTCCCATGATTATTTTTTTTGCTTTTCTTTTCTTCCTTTTTATTCTAAATAGCATATATGGAAAGAAATATAAACTAATATCAAGGTGAAAACCTTCTCTCTCACAAATTTAGCCACTAACAATTTCTACTTGATTTACACACGACTTGTACTAGATTTACAATTATTATTTTGGTGTAATAGTTATATGGAATGGATGTAATCTAGTGTTCTAAATAGCGGGTTATAGTATTTAGCAGAGGGGGTATGCTTAGCCAATATAGCGCCACTATATCATGCTATTTAGTACAACAATGTTTGTAGTGGCAACCAGTATGAGCCGCTCCAGCCCGCTATTTAGAATATTGATTCCACCTAATTTTTACAATTTTTTGAATTTGGATGTAGAACATCTGCTAGTAGAAGTCGGATATACGACTAAAGTTTTTCAATCAATATGACATGAGCTTTAGCTATCTTCTGATGTATTCCCTTTATCCCAAAATAAGCACATTCTGATATCAACATTTTATATATCTAAATAGATGTATCATAAAAATATATGATGTAATTATTTAATGATGTTTATTTGGTATTATGAATATTAATATTTTTATATGTTTGATGAAATTTAAAACTTATTATCTTTCGAAGGACATGAGAAAAAATAAAGAGTAAGAAAAAATTTCTGATGTAAATGTATAAGAGAGAAAGTGGTTTGGATAATTTAGACATGGTATAAGATTTATGTTGTAAAATTGTCTTCTAACCCATTAGAGTTCCTCTCTAATATTTTAAACTCGGTCCATGCCCTTGGCCGGACTGCAAGAACACATGAATCGGACAAAGAAAAAGAGTGGCCGAAAGGACCCCGCGCGTGGGCGTGGCGCTTGGCGGAAACACGAGCCTCATGGGTAATGGCAGCCAGCGCCCCGACTTTTCCTCTTTCCTCCCACCGCCCCGTCAAATTTTGGCATCAATTTCTCCTCCCCAACCCGTCGACCCCTCCTCCTCGTTGTTCTTGACGCTCGGCGGAAGAAAGAAAGAAAAAGTCTGCGTTTTATCCCTCACAATTGTTCCAGAAACAAACAAAATTTATAGGTTTCCAAGAAACCAGGACGGAGACATCGAGGAGGCGGCGTATAACAACAAGCCCCTTCGGCCCCGTCTCCTCTGTCCATCGATCACCTCGTGCGTGTGCCGCAGCAGGCATCTCCGGCGAATCTGCTGGTTTGAGGCGCGGAGAGAGGTGAGTTTGCTGATCAGAGGTGATCTTACCCCTTCTGTCCGGTTCGATTTGCTGATGCGGCCGGCAGGTTTGGTCGTTTCTGGGTGCGATTGTTGTGATTGCTTTGTGGGCTTGCGGCAGGCAATGACACTGATTCTAGAATTTTGTTCTATTGGTTGGTTGTTCGGTGGGAAGGGGATAGATTCTTTTTTTTTCCTTGCCTTTCCTCCCGGCAAAAGAGAAGTTGCTTTGGTCAGTATTATGATGTTTTTGCCACTTCGGTATAGTAATCCAGTATGCACATGGAGAATCGTACATCTTTACTCGTTGGAACTCCAATATTGTTGGAGCATACTGTGCTCGTATCATCCGCCTTTTTAATAGCACGATTAGCTCACTTTGTTCAATGTAGTGTAGGAATACTCCTGTCTTCTCTTCTTTCTACTATTTTTTCTGATTTTTTTTAATTCATGTACAAGAACTCGAGGGTGCTCTTCGGGGAGCTTTGTTAATAATTATTATGCTTTTACCATAATCTCTATCTGATACTGATAGCAAGCTGGAACCTGTCCCACAGGATATTTTCATGCTGAGCAATCTAAACAATGGCACTAGGGCCCATGGACTACGCTGGTTCGATTAGTTCAGGCCAGAAGTACCTGGGCCGTTTCGGACTAGCCACCAGCAGTAGATTGCGATGGGTGGGATATGACACGAAATCAAGGACATATCAGTTGGTTGCTAGAGCCATATCCGTGGATCAACCGCAACTAGACTTCTCGAATCCCAACTGGAAGAAGCAGTTTCAGGAGGATTTCAATAAGCGCTTCAGCTTGACACACTTGAGAGATGTAATTGATGTGGAACCGAGACCAACTACATTTTCTCTCAAGAGCAGGTGACATATTTCCCCTCCTTTCCTTTATATTTGATTGGTCTCATATACTAATCCTAGTTTATATCATCTGTGACCGAATTTTTTTAGGTTTTGTTTAATGTGTGTAATATTGTTACTCTGTCTACAACAGGACCCCTCTTGAGAATGTGAATGGTACCATGCAAGAATCATGGAACGGCTATGTGAATGATGATGACAGAGCACTTTTGAAGGTATGCATTTAGCATTGAGTTATATATTTACCGAGGCATGCTTTGTGTCCACAAGAAAATACTTTCTAGATTGAGTTATATATAGCACTGCATTCTTTATATATAATTGTTTCACTTGGGAGATAAATGCACAGTGAATATATATTTATGACTTGAATATACAGTGAATATATATCTATGACTTGAACTTTTAAGTGCCTTTATCTCTACATCAAAAACACACACAAAAAATCGATGATTTTCTTGCCATGTAGGATCAATCTTACTATTCGAGTGCATGCTTGTGATACTGCTTAGTGTGAACTGCTTCTGAACAGAAAAGGAGCCTTTTTCTGTTTCTAGGAAATAGTCAAGTGTGCAAGCTCACTTGTTTAGTCAGGTAAACAACAGTAGATGGATTAGAAGTTACCCTTACAAACTTATTGCTTCTTCAGGTTATTAAGTTTGCCTCACCAACTTCTGCTGGAGCTGACTGCATTGACCCTGATTGTAGCTGGGTTGAACAATGGTGGTGCAACTACATGAATTCAAATTTTGTAGTGTAGAAATTATTTTTATTTCCCTAACCTACTTATTATCATTTCCAGGGTGCACCGTGCTGGTCCACGCAAACAAATATATTTTGAGCCTCAATATGTGAAGGCTGGGATTGTATCGTGTGGTGGGCTCTGCCCTGGTCTCAATGATGTCATTCGGCAGGTAGGTTAGAACTTGTGTGGATCTTGTATTGTTTAGAATCAAAATTTCTTAAAATTGCATTATAGAGAACAACATTCTAAGCTTTGAATTTGATCATTGTTTCTCTCTTGTAGATTGTGCTTACACTTGAAAAATATGGGGTGAAAAACATTGTTGGGATACAGCATGGGTTCCGTGGATTTTTTGAGGATCACTTATCAGAAGTGCCGGTAAGATTCTTTTCTATTTCATTTTAATCTGGAAACATTGATAGACCTGTTGAAGGGAGCTTACTCTTTTCCTTCATTCAGCTTTCTAGGCATGTAGTCCAAAATATCAATCTTGCTGGTGGTAGCTTCTTAGGAGTCTCTCGCGGTGGTGCAAACATTTCAAACATTGTTGACAGTATTCAGGCAAGTATATGTCCTTCTGTTACTTTGCAAAATATGTCTACAATAATTACTAACTGAAAGACTCATCAACTTAATTTCGACATGCCACATTCAGGCTAGGAGGCTTGATATGCTCTTTGTACTTGGTGGAAATGGAACACATGCTGGAGCTAATGCTATACATGATGAGGTATTATTGAATCCAATGTTCATTGTAATGAATAGGTAGCTTATCTGAGTTCCTCTCATATAGGGCGGGCCTGGTGCAAGCGGTAGAGTCTTACCGCCTGTGACCGAAAGGTCCCGGGTTCGAGTCGCGGTCTCCTCGCATTGCACAGGCGAGGGTAAGGCTTGCCACTAACACCCTTCCCCAGACCTCGCACAGAGCGGGAGCTCTCTGCACTGGGTACGTCCTTTTTTTTTGGATAAATATAGCATGAGTGAATGGCTCATACTTCGATGACTACTTATGCCACAACATTCTTAATGCAGTGCCGCAAGAGAAAACTGCAGGTATCAATTGTATGCGTCCCCAAAACTATTGACAATGACATATTACTGATGGACAAGACCTTTGGATTTGATACTGCAGTGGAAGCTGCACAAAGAGCTATCAACTCTGCATACATTGAGGTGATTCCTTCAGCAACACCTTGGTCTATCAAGCACATATAAATCTTATGAAATGTATGCACAGAGTGCCTGTGGTTAACATTTTATTGGACTTAGGCACATTCTGCATTTCACGGCATTGGATTGGTCAAGCTGATGGGAAGAAGCAGCGGCTTCATCACAATGCATGCCTCCCTGTCAAGTGGCCAAGTAGATATCTGTCTGATACCTGAGGTATGAAGAGCACGTTTGGTTCAGTCTATGACAGGTGGGCCAAATGACTAAGGCCCTGTTTTGATCCCAAGGCTAAAAATTAGCCCATCTTGTGATAATTGGCTAAATATGGGCTAATGGGTTCTAACCACCAATTAGCCCATGTTTAGCCCTCTTATTTGGCATCCAAAAATAAGGGCTAACTGTTAGCTCCCTGGATCCAAACAGGCCCTAAGAAGTTAGGCTGATTAAACACTAGCAAAGAAAACTGTGACTGCCTAAGCTTAGTTGTGGCAACCTTAGGCTGCAATCCAAACATGCCCAAACTCTTCTATTGTTTATGCATCCCCATGTACCACACTGGTTAATCTAAATCATTGGTTACCAAAATGAAGGTACCATTCACTCTTGATGGACCGAACGGAGTTCTTCGACATCTCGAGCACTTGATAGAGACCAAGGGATTTGCTCTGGTTTGCGTTGCAGAAGGAGCAGGACAGGTTAGATCTTGTTGCATTAAAAGATAATCGTGTTACCTCTAGCACCAGTTTGGGTGTCTTTTATTTTGTTACTGTGGTTGCTCGTGTATAATATGAGAAATCCAGTTTAAGTAATTCTCTTTTCTATATGTTGGGTTATACAAATTGTTCAAGAAGTAATGTTCTGATGCATTTTCAGGAATATTTTCAAAAGTCAAATGCAACTGATGCATCAGGGAACATGGTTCTTAGTGACATTGGTGTCCACCTTCAGCAGAAGGTTAGTCCAGTTTAATCTTCAGCCACTGTAATGGGCATGAAGCACTGGGTGGAATGGCTTTACCTGTGTTGGATTTATGGTTGATGAACCTTATTTTACTTTAGTCGTGCCATGCCACAGATCAAGTCCCATTTCAAGGATATAGGAGTCCATTCTGATGTCAAGTATATTGATCCCACGTACATGCTCCGCGCTGTGCGTGCCAATGCATCTGATGCCATCCTGTGCACCGTGCTTGGTCAGAATGCTGTAAGATATCATTTCTCCTTGCTGCCTCTCTGCCTCATGACAAAATCCTGCATTTTTCGTTCCTAACCATTTGTCGTTCTGTGTAAATCCTGCAGGTTCACGGTGCCTTTGCGGGTTTTAGCGGCATCACAACCGGGGTGTGCAACACACACAATGTTTACTTACCGATACCAGAAGTCATCAAATCCACGAGGGTTGTCGATCCAAACAGTCGGATGTGGCACCGGTGCCTGACCTCAACCGGGCAGCCGGACTTCCATTGATCAATTATTAACGAAGCTTGTAATAGAGCATCTGATTGTAAAATGAAGGTGCAGTATGGCAAAATAATCATCTGATGGATTTTTCATACCCCATCTGAAAAAAGAGAAACATCTTTGTGACCTTGTTGAGATGCAAGATGCATGCAATAGGCATCTCGCTACGCTAACCAGTTCCCGCAAGACGCTGGGTGCTGCGGGTTTTATTTGTCTGTAGTATGTAGCCAGTCATGCGAAACAGCCACTCACGATTCTCCTGTACCCCTTGTAAATGGAACCATAGACGTGTTTGTAATGTGCATCCTGTGTATCCTAACCTTTGCACCTGTGGTTTGTACTTGGATACAGTGAATGAGCTTGGATCAGTCAATCTGAAGTTTCTGCAATCAGCTCCTGGACCGGAGGAGCACGTATTTCAGGCCCATTCATCCTCTTCGGTGACTTCTGCAGGAGTATCAAAAAGAGATGATGGTCCTTGAACTTGTCCCATCGTGTCATCCAGATTCCGAAACACTTAAAATACATTTCTGGGCCATCAAACTTATCTTTGTATATTATCTAGATCCCAAACTTTCAAAATGCTATTTTAGATCCCTAGACTTGTCTCGGTGTATCGTTTAGGTCCTTGAGCCTGCTATATTATATTATTTGTTAGGTCCAAATAGGCGTGTTCTACTCCCTGTCATGATGCCACATGCCACAACAATTGGAATTCAAACCTCATTCTTGACTGGGGAAGAAAATGACAAAACAATTGTTCGCCTACCTCCTTCATCTAAGAAGCACTAGTTAGACTTGTCGCCATCACTACTAATGATGTCATGGCATTTGAGCTTATGTCGAGGATGATGAAGACGTACATGGGGTGGGGATGGCTAGTTGGTGACGGTGATGTGATGCCACACTAAATTTGAATGCACAGGAGGGAGATAACATGGAGATTCAGCGAGAAGAGAGAGGGAGAGCATGATGGAACGCTAGAGTCTAGAAACCAACACGTGGGTTGCTTGTTGAAGCTTGTTTGAACCTAGATGACACATTAGCATAAGTTTGAGGACTAAAATATAAAATTTTGAGAGCCTTGAACCTAGATGACTTGGATCCATAAAGATACGCTTTGAGAGTTCAGGGGCCTAAATGATATCACAAGACAAACAAACCACTCATGCATTTTCCTCCTTATTCAACAAGACACATGTGAGCTTTGAAAATCGCTTTTGACCTAGTGTCTTCTGGACCTCTGCAGTTTTAGTTTCTCCATCATTGATCTCAGCGCCTACTGTTTTCTCGGCATTCACTAGGAGCATCTTGTCGGACGATTCTGTTGATGTAAATTATGAAAAGACTGAATAAATTAAATGATAATTCCGACAATCAGTGGTAAAAAAATGATCATGTAGAATTATAAACAGATTTATTGGTCAGTGATACAAATGAAAAGATTTATTGGTTACATTTTATTTCCTACCCACATGCCCAAGAGGAGATTTATCAGGGACCTCGATATCTGAAAGCCATTTGTGAGATTTATATCCTGCATTTGGAGCACATATATGTTATGAGTAACATGCCACAGACATCCTTTGGTAAGAACTTGAGCTGCGTCAAGATATTAGTGGAATACCAGTCAAGTTCTTTACAAACATGCCAGTAGGATACCAGTCAAGTTCTTTCCAAAATCCTTTTAGAAGTTATATGGTCAGAATCCAAATAGAAAGAAAACTCAACATATAAAGTATAAAATAACCGAATAAATATATGTAAACTACAATGCACGATGTGAAAAATGTCTCAGTTGTTCCATTAATCAAACAAAATTGTATCTTCAATTGAATATACTAGATGATACCCCACGCGTTGTTGTGGGGATTTTGTAGAGGGATTTATAGTTCTTTTGGATTGATGTAGAAGTGTCAATAATTACAATTTAACTAATTTCAAGGTGAGTATATATATAATAAAATATAATATTGCTTGTGTACGGTAGAATCCATCCCAAAAAGGATTTTTTAGATGATGGAAGAAGTATCCAGCTTCATTCTCTCAAGAGAGAAAAGTCATATTCATGAAGATACATCATTGATCAACATGATAGGAGTATTAATAAGATTTCTTAATTACAAACTATATTTCTAGTTTTACATGTGGTGGCGAAAAAAATAACATAATTAGAAGAGCATGATATATGACACCATACTTACCAATTAACCATACGACATGGATATACTTCACATGGCCGGCAAAACACGACGTGGAGGACAGGAGGAGCGTTCGAAAACGTCTCGCTTTGGCCGCCTCTCTGTGCTCACAGCCGGGCCTGGAGGGGCTCGATGGTGGCGGTCATCCTAGCGGTAGCGGCTCTCCGCCGCGCGTGTCACCACCAGCGAACGCCAAATTGTTGAGGTATAGCGTACAACTCACGAACGCCAACTGCCGTCGCTGACTGAGTCCAGTGCGCGGTGACCACGCGCCAAGGCAGGCACCCCCGCGCCCACGATGTACACATAGGTGCGGTTGCCAATTCAGCAACCAGTGTTGTAACACATATACTCACCAGAGATCAATAGAAAGACTGTTGGCTCTCCTATCTCCTTTCTTCATGGTATCAGCTAGCACGGGTTGATCCCTCGCCTCTCTCCGTCGCCGCTTCCTCACCTCTGTGCCATCTCGCCGTCCTACTCTCCTTCTTTCCCCACGCCATGGATGACATGACTGACAATCCTCTCTTCGGCATGCTCTCCAGCGCTGCATCCTCGGCCACTCCTCGCCTGAGTCCTCCATCGACGGCGATGCACCTGCCCCTACGCCTCCTGCTGCTGCTATACTTCAAACGGTGAACATCAAGTCTCATGTTCCCGTCGTCCTCGAGCTCGCCGAGCCTAACTATGACGAGTGGCGCTGCTTCTTTGATGTGTTCCTTGTTAGCTAATCTACTGCCACCTTGTGTGAAACACAGCAGAGGAAGGCGGCGCCGACTTTGCCCCTATTTGTAATCTGATAGCAGCTTTGTGCCAGGTGCAGGCGCCGCATGGCTCACATGCAAAGACCTTGTGAGGCACATGCGATGGGTCAGCGCAGAGTCAATACAGTATACTTATCTAGATTCTTTATATAAGACATGTGCTGCTTTGTACTTTAGTTAGATAGATAGAGTTGTATAAATAGGGCACCAAGGCAACTCAAGATAAAGAGAGCTCAGATTTGCCATCACACAGACAGGGCCTCGGCAAGCGTTGTTGTCTTGTATTGTGCGTGCTTACTCTGTTCTCCTTCTTCTTCTAGCTCGATCCGTAGTGTGTGGAGTGCGGACACAACCGGTATAGTGGTGCCGGGAGACTAGTGGTGCTGGGAGACTAGTGGTCTGGGAGACTAGTGGTGCAGTCCAGGAGACTAGTGGTCTAGGAGACTAGTGGTGCCGGTCTAGGAGACTAGTGGTGCAGGAGACTAGTGGTGCGAGACTAGTGGCGGAGACTAGTTCACTATCGCCGACGGTGATCCCGTGGGCCAACAAGTGGTATCGAGCCATACAAGCGCCATCGTCATTCTAACCGATGGCGAGGGATGACGGTTTGGAGTTGGGCGATGGCGGTGGCTTTGTCATAGCTACCCAGCCACTACCGGAGGTAGTTGTCCGCCTGCAGTGCGGGAGGTCGGCACACCACTTGGCCGGCGCCGACCGACTCGCACTAACTATGGAGAGTGGTCGGTGACCATGAAGGTCAAGCTCGAGCAAGCGGCTCTAGAATATCATTGACAAGGGCACCGGCGTGGAAGAAGATGACATGTCGGCGTTAGAGGCTATCCTCATTCTTTGTCTGCGGCGGAGTATAGGGAATCATTGGGGACGAAGAGCTCAGCTAAGGAGGCGTGGGAGGCCATTGCGGCGATCTTGGCGTCGGTTCCGACAGCAAGCAAAGGCAACGACCCGACACCAAAGCGAGGAGTATGCAAACCTCAAGTTCAAGGATGGTGAAACGGTGGAGGACTTTTCCTCCGCTGCAGACGCTCATCGCAAGGTGAAGAGCCACGACATCACCATCGACAAAGAAGAGGCGGTCTCCAAATTCCTCCACTCCGTTTAATAAAAAGTACATCCAGATCGCTCTCTCCATAGAGGCGATCTTTGGACTTGTCCACCCTCACCATCGAGGATGTGGCAGGCCGTCTGCGGGGTGGTGAACGGTGGCGCGCTGAGCGGGCGGCGATAACGAACGAGCGCGGAAACTCCTGGCGACGGAAGAGGAGTGGGCTGCTAGGCAAAACTCCAGGAAGGCAGCCTCCTCTAGTCGCGGTGGCAACGACAAACATCGCGGCAGGGCTTCTTTGGAGAAGAAGCAAATCGACTCCAATGCCTGTCGGTGTTGCGGGAAGATGGGCCATTGGGCACGGGAGTGCCCAAATCGCAAGACGGAAAAGAAGGCTCAGGCTCACCTGGCGAAAGCCGATGATGAGGATGAGGCCACTATCCTTATGGCAACGTTCTGTGCACTGCACGACGTCGAGGCCATGGAGAGGGAAAAGGCGATGACGGTGGAAGGATCTAGCAAGGCCCTGAAGACCGTCAACCTCGACGAACCACGTGTCCAAGTCCATCTTGGGCATGTGGGCGTCGACCAGGAGCAGCGGTGGTATCTGGACTCTGGTGCCAGTAACCACATGATGGGCTCCAAGGACTCCTTCTCCGAGCTCGACGGTGATGTTACCGGTACGGTGAAGTTTGGTGACGGCTCAAGGGTGGCTATCCAAGGGCACGACACCATCATCTTCAGATGCTAGAACGGGGAGCACCGCACGCTAACGGATGTATACTACATCCCGCAGCTGCGTTCCAGCATCATCAGCATTGGTCAGCTGGATGAGCGCGGTAGCGAGGTTCTGATCAAGGACGACGTTCTGAGGATCAGAGACTGGGAGCAGCGACTTCTCACCAAGGTGAAGAGGTCCCTGAACCGGTTGTACCTGCTCGACCTGAAGGTAGAGCATCTGGTTTGCTTGGCGGCAAG